GCAAAAAAAATAAAATTCCTTTCTTGTTTTAAAGCATTTTTGTTCGAAAAAAAAACAAAAACAAAAACTTCAAAAAATATATATTTTTCTTTTTCTTAAAGCTTTCATGGTTTGAGTTTTATAAAAATAAACAAACAAAAAAAAGAATTAGCTTATTTACTCCATTCTCAATCTTCACGAACTACGCGAGATCTGATTCATGCGGCGTCATGATACGTAGGAAATTCCCATCGGATTCGATCACAGCCATAAAATAAATTTGAGAGAAAAATAAACTGAAAAAAAAAAAGAGAAAGGAAAAACAAAAAAAAAATTGAGTGAAAAAGAAAGAAAAGAGTGACAAAAAAAAGGAAAAAAAAGAGCTAAAAAAGGAAAGAAAAGAGTGACAAAAAAAAGAGAAAAGAGTGCCAAAATAAAAAAGCGACATAAACAATGAGAAAATCAAGAGTGATTAAAGAGAGACAGAAATGAAAGAAAAGTGGTATAGAGTGAAAAATGGTTAGTTAAGGTCGGGATGAAACATGCAACCGTTCAAACACTTGGTAGAAGCGTTTAAATGTTTAGGTGCATTGCATCCCAACGTGCGATTGCCTATCTATTAAGCATCTCAAAACTAACAAGGTTGTTTAGTGTGCAAATTAGCCAGGTTCTGTTCAGGTGGATGGTTTTGTTGGTAATCTGGCTTCCAATCCTTACTTCGCAAGATCCAAAGGAAAGGTTCCAATGGCCTCCGAAAGTCATCTACCAATTATCAATCCTGAGGATAGCCCAGCACCGGGTATTCCACAACTCGAATCAGCAGCTGCTGAAGAGAATAGGATGTTGTGTCTCCACATATTAGAAATGTGGGACGCCTGGTCTAATGGTAGGGAACCGCCAAGTGCAATCCCTGGGTCCCGTAGTTGATCCCCAGGTCAGGTGTAACGGTCCGACCAGTCGTTTTGAGCTCTATCGCGTCGTTCAGCGGTTTGAAGCCCTGAGTAGCTTCACTTGAGGTATTATGACTTGTACACGTGGTCAGAATTGAATTCCGGGAAGTTCAGAGTTGATTTGGAGAGAGAATTCTCATTTCGGAAGCTCTAAGTTGAAGGAATTGACTAAGATTGGATTTTTGAGTAAACGACCTCGGAATCGGAATTTGAAGGTTCCAGAAGGTTCTTATGATGATTTCGAACTTGGGCGTGTGTCCGTATCGGGTTTTGGAAGACCCGAAAATGTTTCGGCACCTATTGTGGAAGTTAGCATTTTTGGAAGAATTTCATAAGTTTGGGTTGAAGTGCATCTCAGTGTTATCAATGTCCGTTTGGGATTTCGAGTCTGGGAATAGCTCCGTACGGTGATTCAGGTGTTGGGAGCGCGATCGGAAGTGAATTCGGAGGTCCGTGGGTCATTTTGGAGTCATTTGGCTAAAGATAGAAATTTGAAGGTCTTTGGGAAGTTTGACCGAGAGTTGACTTTTTGATATCGGGGTCGGATTACGATTTCGGAAGTTGGAGTAGGTCCATAATGTCGAATATGACTTGTGTGCAAAATTTGAGGTCAATCTCACATGATTTGATAGGTTTAAACATCGCAAGTAGAAGTTTGAAATTTGAAAGTTCATTAAGCTTGAATTGGAGTGCGATTCATGGTTTTAGCGTTGTTTGATGCGATTTGAGGCTTCGAGCAAGTCAGTGTTATGTTTTTAGACTTGTGTGGGTGTTTGGTTTGGAGTCCCGGGGGCTCGGGTGAGTTTCGGAATAGCTTCGGAGTGTTTTGTGAAGGAGTTGGAATTTCTGGTTCTGGTATGATCGCATTTGCGAGGAATTGGTCGCAAATGCGATCAACGCATTTGCGAGATGGAGCTCGGATTTGTGAGCCTGGGCTTCTGAGGGGAAAGTTCGCATTTGCGAACGAAGGATCGCTTTTGCGAGGCTATCACCTTCGCATTTGCAAAGAATCTTGTCGCAAATGCGACCAGGGCAGGGTTGGCTAGGCTTCGCATTTGCGGTGCATTTGTCGCAAATGCGACCATCGCATTTGCGAGCCGGATGTCGCAAATGCGACATTTGCGACTGGAACCTAGGGCTTTATATCCCGAGACACAGCCTATTTCCTTCATTTCCCACTTGGTCTTAGGCGATTGTTGGAGCTTTTGGAAGAGGGTTTTCACCTAGCATTTCGAGGTAAGTAATTTCTACACAACATGAGTTTAATAGAACAGCCTCGTAGGCACTTGTATTTGTTAGCATTTATCATCCCGGTCCCTATACTCAAAGAAGATTCATCCAGACACTTATAGTTGTTCAAAGCCAATATTTTAAACCCCTCTCACCTCGTGTGTTCTTCAAATCTCTGACATGGATGACACATCAGTGGCCACGTCAAATTTTTTATTACACATCATTATTACTTTATTTTTCACATTATTTTAAAATTATTCATTTCCTTTTCTTTTATTCCACCATTTACTCCATCTTCCTCCTCCCTCACCATTTTTATTCTCCATTCACAAATCATAAAAATCTCCTAACCATCACTGTGTGCGACCCACCATAGCATCACCAATCAACCACCAAAAGCTAAACCGGCCATCAATAATGACCACCCGAAAGACCAACATCACCCAAAACTTTTTGAAATTTCACTACAAGAAAATTAGAAAATAGGTTTCACCGGCGATCTTCTTTCACTATTTCTATTTCTTTTCTTTACAAAGGCTATCTTCCAAAGTAGGGAATGGGGTGTGAGAAAAAAACTCCCCAAAAATTGATGCAAATCTGGTAGATGTTTTGGATCTATAGCGACGATGGATGTCATTGTTTGGATGAAGATATGGTGGGAAGGGTACCGCTCCTTATATGCGTGAAATACACGATTTTGTCCAGTTCAGCGATTAAGTTGTCACATAGACTTGGCCAATGGTCAAAGGGGTTTAAAATATTACTTTTAAACGAGTAGAGCTGTCTAGATGAAACTTCATCAAGTTTGGGGACCGGAATAACAAAGTGGCACAAGTATAAGTATCATTTAGGCTATTCTGCCTTTTAAGTTTAGAGCTTCAAATTTTTGGACCTTTTGGCCTTTGGTAGAGCCTAACTTTAGACCCGATGATCTAACATTTTTCATGCTAAGTTTAGAGATAATTTTTGTCCAATTTCTACTTACTTATTGCAGAGTGGCTACACTTTAAATAGTATCTAAAACCCGATTATATTTTAAATAGAAACATTACAAGCGGCTGCCTGGTGCCATTCTCAAAGCTTAATCATCATATTATATTATAAGCGTGAAAATTTTTAGATTAAGTTGTTTAACTAAAATATTCTTCAAAAGTTGAATGACCAAATTATCATTTACTTAATAATTTATTCATTTATTATTATATATGCAATATTGTTACGGAGAACTCAGTGGTTACTTTCTTTTCTTCTTTCTATTGTCCAATCTATCAACAATTACTTCTTTAATACTATCTCTTAATTAGCCCACCCATCCTCCTCTTAAATTTTCTTAATTAGTTTCCATAACCCATCAACTTCTTTAATTTTCTTAATTAGCCCACTCATCCTCCTCTTTAGTAAGTGTGAACAACTAAAGTGAACCTTAAAAGACCAAAATATTCTTATAAAGTTGAATGACATTTTTATCCTTCAATCAAGCACAATTTCAATAACAATTTTTGTATAAAGATGTAAATATACAACCTAATAAATATTAAGAAAATAAAAAGTTAAGAAACAAAAAAGAGAGACAAATACGAGACATTAGGACGTTCAGTTTATATTAGCAAGGCTTTTGAGTTTCTGTGAAATGAATCTAGGTGAGCTATTTTATTTGAGTAAAGAATAATGACAATCAACCTTTACTACATCCAAAACTGCAACCTTTCAGTTTGCAATAAGTAGAGCAATTATTATTCAAACAAGCGACAGTTATGTTAACGAGTTATCTCATCAGTCCTAAAAAAATTAATACACAATTATATTATTTTATCGAATTTACTTCTGACAACTTATCAACTTTTATAAGCGGACTTTAGAATCAATTAAAATATCTACTTCCAGAAAAAAATGCATATTTTAGTTAGACCAATCTATTTACCTCCCGCAACATATAGATTAACTCTGCAAATTTCAACTCAAGTAAGTTCATCCCTTTTTTTGTTACTTTCCAATTAGGAGTGGCAAACGGGTGGGTCGGGTCGGATATGGTTCGAGTCAAAAACGGGTAATGAAAAAATGATTAAATTATCCGATCCGACTCATATTTAATAAGGATAAAAAACGGGTTAATCGGAGGATAATATGGGTCCATAACTTCTTGCATATTATCACTTTTGGGAGAATTCTTAGTCTCCCTAACTTGAAGAACCCTCAATTTGAGGCTTTACAAATGTAAAAGTTAGACCCATTGGTTATCCATTTTCTAAATGGATAATATGATTTTTATCCATATTTGACCCGTTTTAAAAAAGTTCATTATCCAACCCATTTTTTAGTGGATAATATGGGTGGTTAACTGTTTTCTTTTAACCACACCCCTATTTCCAAGCATCTTTATATTTTTCCAACGTTTTATTTTGTGGAGAATTAGACATATTTCGTAGATTATAGATATAAATTCTTTAAAATGACATTTCTTCGATATTCCATGAATTGTTGACAAAATTTAAAATTTCAAGGTTTTGGTTTTTTGTATGCATATATTAGCCGTCCAATGATAAAGTTAAATTGAAAATAGATATGTTAGCTTTGTTCCTACTTCTACTTCTACCTAAGATCCTAATATAATTTCCCTAATCTATCTTCTCTAGCTATGATTTTGTTTTTCCCACATAACTCTTAGTATATACTGATATAAATGCATGAAGATAATCGAGTAATTAGAAAATTCTCAATTATACAAAATAAAATTAAGTACTTCACGTATATTAGTGGATTCTTTTGCAGTGTCAAATATTTTTTAAAAGTATTTTGAATTACCTAACAATTCATAGTTAGATAATATTTTCTTAAAGGATTTCGTTGGATATCAAGATAAATATAGAAGAAGATGTGCGATCTCTCAAATTGAACATAATTTTATGTTATATCTTTATTTTTCTTATGGAGAAAAATGTTCTTTTTATTTTTATGTTTTATTTACATTTATGTAAGTTTTGTTTAATAACTCAAGCATATCTTTTTAATAATAGTTATATGATTATTTTTCTAAAATGTAATGCTTGATAAGGCACGCCCCCATTGCGCGTGGAGAGAGACTAGTAATAGTAATGCCTTTAATTGTAAAAATACTTTTTGATTTCTGCAGAAAGAAGAATATTAATTGAGATAGACAATGATTCGGAAGCAAGGAAGCAATCAGACGATACAGTGAGAATAGACCCTTTGGACAATTTCAAGAAATACAGAGGAGGATTTGACATTACAGATAAACACTATTGGAGCGTGAGTAATTTGCATTTCTTAATTCCTACCATATAGTAATTTGATGCTCGGACTCTTTAAGAATACCAAGAAGTGTATGTCGGATTCTTCAAAAGTAATATATTTTTGAAGTTCGGGTGTTATAGTACTTTTAGAGAGTCCTAGCCACATAGATAAATAATCCCTCTATACTAATTGAGTGTTTATATTTTTCTTTTATACATCAATGTAATATAATTCCCTGTTTTCTTTTCCTTTTTAACTTTTGCCATTTATTTGTCCAATTTTTAAGTATATTCATAATCAAGGGCAAAGTTACATACCTTAAATTGACCCCCCTTCGTCGGAAAATTACACTGCATTTAAGTAAAATATTTTATTGTAGAGGTATATAACATATACTGAACATCCTTTGTCGGGAATTTTTTTCACTTTTTTCAAGTGTAAACACCCTTGAGAAAATTCCTGGCTTCGCCACGGTCATAGTAAATACTCCATAGCCTACTTTTACATTTAATTTTAAAAAAGAATACATCTTTTGCCAATTATAAGCAAGTTATTCCAACTATGCTTCACATATGACAAAATAATTTCAAGCACTAAATTTTAACTTCTTGTGCAGTCCACCATCTTTACAGGTATATATGGCTATGCCATTGCAGTAGTGTGGCTATTCTGTGGCTTAGGATATGGACTATATGTTCTAGCCTCTACCTACTGCTGTAAAAGGAAGAACATGAAGCTTAAGAAGAGATCAACTTGTCAGTATCAACACTATTATCTCTGGCTTATTTTCTCAGCTGTTTTCTTGACAATTTTAGCAATGTGTCACTTCATTATCACTTATCTAGTTTTATTACTTTACAGCACTAAATATTAAGTTCAATTAACCTAAGGTTTTTATGTCTGCATATATTGTATCCTCCGAAGGGGAGACTTGGAGCAACGATAAAGTTGTCTCCATGTGAGCTATAGGTCACGGGTTCGAGACGTGGAAGTGGCCACTAATGCTTTGCATTAGGGTAGGTTGTCTACATCACACCCCTTGGGGTGCGTCCGTTCCTCAGACCCTACTTGAATGCCGGATGCTTTGGAGCAACAGTAAAGTTATCTCCATGTGACCTATAGGTCACGGGTTCGAGCCGTGGAAGCAGCCACTAATGCTTTGCATTAGGATAGGCTGTTTACATCACACCCCTTGAGGTGTGGCCGTTCCCGGGATCCTACTTGAATGCAGGATGCTTTGGAGCAACAGTAAAGTTGCCTCCTTGTGACCTATAGGTCACGGGTTCGAGCCGTGTGTTAGAATAGTTATTAGAATATATGTAATTAGTCCTAGTCCCTTATGTAATAGGAGTAGGTTATGTGTTATGCATACAAATAAATAGGGCTCATTGTAACATAGAATATCAATTAATAATAGATTTTTCTCCCGTGTCTTCTCACATGGTATCAGAGCATTAGTGAGGAAAGATCGTTGTGCGTCATTCCAGCGTTAACTGGGAAGAAAGGACTTAGTCATCGTGCAATTTTCCGGTGACCTAAGGTCTGTCTACGTGAAAGTCACTTTCTGTCGGTGTTGTGCAAAAACCAACATCACCACGAGGTAGATCACCCTCCGACGACCAACCCATTAAAATTTCTCCGACAGAAAAACTGCCACGCGCCGTCAAGAGAAATTTTTCCGGCGAGGGTTCCAACCCATGCGCCGGCGCGTGGCCACTTTCCGGCCATTTTTCGCGAAATTTCTTCAGGACAGCCTTCTCTCCTCACAATTCCGAACCTACCCATCTAGTTCAAATCAAATTTCAACCACTATTATATTTTTTCGGCATGAGCAGTGATTTTTTCCAGCGTGAATAGTAGTTCCAAAGAAAAAACAATCTTCTTTTTCCGACGTAAACAATGGCATTCGTATAACAAGCCTTTGACTCACAATCCATTGGATCGAATGCAATCTAGATGGTTTCTTTGCAGGATTATATTGAGTTCCTTCAATATAAAGCATGTAAACAAACATCTCCAGGGATAGCTTCCGCTGTTCAAACAGATAATAGCATGACTTATGTCTCCCAATTTTCAACCGTTGAGTCTTGGGTCATTGATTCAGGTGCATCTGATCATATTTCTGGTAACAAATCTCTTTTCATTAGTGTTTCATATTCTCAATCTCTTCCAATAGTCACAATGGCCAATGGGTCTCAAACCATGGCAACTGCAATAGGTCAAGCAAGTCCACTTGCTTCCTTACCTTTAGATTCAGTTCTTTATGTTTTCGGTAGTCCTTTTAATCTCATAGCCGTTAGTCGATTAGCCAAATCACTTAAATATGTTGTTTTATTTCTTGATGACCTTGTTTTTATACAGGAACACAGTACGGGGCGGATCATTGGTACCGGACGTGAATCAAATGGACTTTATTATCTTATCCTTGCAAAATCACATGGACTCACTTCTTGTCTTCCTTCAACAACTTGTCCCGTTATATTCACCAGATTTATTACATAAACGGTTGGTACATCACAGTTTGTCAAAACTTCAGAAAATGGTACCTGGCTTATCTCACTTGTTCACTCTACAGTGTAAGTTATGTCAGCTCGGTAAGCATACCCGCTCCCTTTTCCCGCGGCGTCTTGATAATCGAGCAGAGTCACCTTTTACAAGTCCATTAAGATGTTTGGGGTCCTAGTTGGGTCAGTTCTACCTTGGGATTCCACTACTTTGTCAGTTTCATTGATGATTATTCCAGGTGCACTTGGATATTTTTGATGAAAAATCGATCTGAGTTGTTTTCTATTTTCCAGCCCCTCCACGCTAAAATTCAAAATAATTTGGGGTTTCTATCCTCTTCCTTGTGCTTGGGAGCTTGTTCCTCTTCCTTTGGGTAAATCGACTGTTGGTTGTTTGTTAGGTTGTATACCGTCAAAGTTGGTCCCGATGGCCAGGTTGATCGACTTAAGGCTCGTCTTGTTGCCAAAGGGTATACTCAGATATTTGGACTCGATTACAGTGATACTTTCTCTCCCGTGGCTAAAATAGCATCAGTCCGCCATTTTCTATCCATGACTACTGTTCGTCATTGGCCTCTCTAGCAGTTGGACATTAAGAATGCTTTTCTTCACGGTGACCTTGAGGATGACGTTTATCTGGAGCAACCACCTGGTTTTGTTGCTCAGGGGAACTCTAATGGCCTTGTACGTCAGTTGTGCCGGTCCCTCTAATGTCTAATGCAGTCTCCTCGAGCCTAGTTTGGTAAGTTCAGCACAGTTATTCAGGAGTTTGGCATGACTCGTAGTGAAGCTGATCACTCTGTGTTTAATCGGCATTCTGCTTCAAATCTCTGTATTTATCTGGTCGTTTATGTTGACGATATTGTTATTACCGGAAATGATCAGGATGGTATTAGTAAGTTGAAGCAACATCTCTTTCAGCATTTTCAGACTAAGGATCTAGGCAGATTAAAGTATTTTCTGAGTATTGAGGTTGCTCAGGCTAGCTCAGGTATTGTGATCTCACAACGGAATTATGCCTTAGATATTCTTGAGGATACAAGAATGACAGGTTGTAGACCTGTTGACACTCCGATGGATCCGAATTCTAAACTTATGCCAGGACAGGGGGAGCCTCTTAGGGATCCTGCAAAATATAGGTGGTTGGTTGGTAAATTAAATTACCTCACATGACTAGACCTGACATTTCCTTACTGTGAGTGTTGTGAGTCAGTTTATGGATTCTCCCTGTGATAGTCATTGGGATGCAGCTGTCCGCATTCTTCGGTATATGAAATCAGCTCCAGACAAAGGTTTATTGTTTGAGGGAGGCCATGAGCAGATCGTTGGATACTCAGATGCTGATTGGGCAGGATCACCTTCTGATAGACGTTCTACGTCTAGATATTGTGTCTTAGTAGGAGGAAATTTGGTGTCTTGGAAGAGCAAGAAACAGAATGTGGTTGCTCGGTCTAGTGCAGAAGCAGAATATCGAGCAATGGCTATGGCGACATGTGAGCTAATTTGGATCAAACAGCTGCTCAAAGTGTTGAAATTTGGTGAGATTAGTCAGATACTTGTGTGTGATAATCAAGCTGCTTCATATTGCGTCAAATCCAGTGTTCCTTGAGAGAACTAAACACATTGAGATTGACTGTCACTTTGTTAGAGAAAAGATACTCTCGGGAGATATTGCTACAAAGTTTGTGAAGTCGAATGATCAGCTTGCACATATTTTAACCAAATCCCTCACTATTCCTCATATTAATTACATATGTAACAAGCTCGGATATATGATTTATATGCACCAGCTTGAGGGGGAGTGCTAGAATAGTTATTAGAATATATAGGTTATGTGTTATGTATACATATAAATAGGGCTCATTGTAACATAGAATATCAATTAATAATAGATTTTTCTCCGGTGCATTCTCACACTGTGGGAGGAGCCACAAATGCTTTGCATTAGGATAGGCTGTCTACATCACACCCCTTGGGGTGAGGCCGTTCATCGGACCTACTTGAATGCGGGATGCTTTGTGCACCGGGCTGCCCTTTTTATATAACGCATCCTCCAATGAAGTAGTTTCATTCACTCCTAAAGGTTAGACAAAACTGAGGAGATAATTTCACTATAATTGCAGAACAGCTACAGGCCTGGTACTAGGAGGGAATGCGAAACTACGTTCAAGAACAGATAAAGTTGTGAACATTATCATTGATACAGCAGATGAGGCATCAGAGACTATATATACTACTACTGGAGCCTTGAGAGATATGAATACTGACTTAGAAGATACTGATATAGTTGATGAGGCTGCTAATTTCCTCATTCCCACTTCAAAAAGTCTTGACAGACAGGCTGCTGATATACATCGGGGAGCCACTAAAAATAGGCGTTTAGTCAAGAAAAGCCTCGAGATACTGTAAGTCTTCCTCCTCCCCCTTTGTCTTATATTCTAGATAGGTCCCTTTCAGTAAGATGGATTCAGGATCTAGCGTTAATACGTTAAGAATGAGTGTGATCTTATTATATGTATATATTTTATTTTTTTCCACATATGCATGCATAGTTCGAGTCAAAACTCAAAAGAAATAAATTAGTTGAATGCACAGAACCTGTCATAGGTTCGCCTATGTTTTCCAGGTCATACAAAGACTGACATGCACACTACTTTTTGTTGGCAGGTATATAGTAACTACACTGACTATTTCACTCAACTTGGCTGCTGCAATTTTCCTAACAGGTGAGTGTACTAAGTCCAACTTGAATTTTATCATTGTTCCATGTTTAACCTCATTCCATATTATTTCCAAAGAATCTATAATCCAGAACATAAACTGAAGTACAACACACCCCCTTGTTTGGGAGCTAGAGAAAGTAAAGGAAAGAAAAGTAAAGTTTCAAAAGTTTGCCATTGCTCTTGTTTAGTATGCAAAGAAGAAGAAAAGGAGACTAATATCCAAAAATAGTATGGTAATTTCTTAGTAGGGCTATCATTAAATATCTAATACTGACTAAAGCTGAATTCTGTTTTCATTGCAGTATTTGGAACCCTTAAACTTAGAAGAAATTTTCACCTGTAAGTATATCATGTCAATGGTGCAAATCTTAGCCTCCTAACACTTCCAACTTCTTAGCCATGTTCCAATAGTTGCAAAATTGTTAAATAATATATTCTGATATATGCAGGCTAATCGCAGTATGTTGGATCTTTACAAGTCTCTACTGGTTAAGTTTTGGAATTTATTTCTTCCTAGAAAAGTACGAAAACAATTTCCAATAACTTACTCAAGTTTTCTGTTTCATCTCAAAATTATATTGCCTCGGCGTACTCATGATCAAGTTGTATTTATTGCAGCTTTGCTGGAGATGCATGCACAGCTTTAGAAAGTTTCCGGAAAAATCCCTATAATAATAGCTTGAGTTCGATCCTCCCCTGTGATGAATTGCTCTCAGCACAATCAATCCTATATACTGCCAGTGAAGGGATTCATAGAGTAGTGAACAAGGTAAACCTGAAATTTAAACCTGAAATAGAGTAGTGGTCTTGAAAATTTTGGAATTTTTGGAAATTTGCAGGTAAATCGGGAGCTATCTACAAATTATGGAAATGTTGCACAAATATGCAATCCATTCTCCGGCCCACCAGACTATAACTACGAGCCTGATGAGAACTGTCCATCTAGCGCAATCAGGATAGGAGAGCTCCCTGGGGTATAGCCGAAATGCCTCTGATTACATTTTTCTTTTCACATAGTTGTAGTAGTTAGTAGTTAATTAGTTTTTTGTTACCTTTAATTTGATGGAATTCTCTCTTCTTCTATAAAGATAATCAAGATGCTGACTTGCACTGATCCAAGCTGTTAGGGAGGAGTGTTGATCCCATATAGGATCTTCTACAACATTGAGTCGTATATAACTGCTCTCAAAAAGATACTGGATGTGTACCCTGGAATTGAAAGCCTAGCAGAATGTAACATCGTGTACAGTTCATTTTCAGATATACTTGACAAACATTGCAAACCATTAAAGAAAAACGCGCATATGACATGGGCAGGACTTGTTTTGCTGTCAGTAGTAATGGTCGCGTTAGTCCTCGTATGGACATTCAAGGCACACCATGAAAAGGATCATCACAACATGGATAGTTCTATTAAGCCTCATTTTTCTGCAGCAGTAGATATGCTAGAATTAGGCACGGTTAAAGAAGTCAAGACTGACTCCAAAATCAAAGTTCAATCAGGGAAATAGCAGCCACAGTATTAGTTACAGTATTGTACAGATTGAAAAGATTGTAGGATTTTACAAGAGTACAGAAGATTAAAGGGATCTTTCTGTATGGGAAACATTACCAACAAATTGGGAATTGTTTTAAAAAAGTTAAAACAATCCAGCTATGGGGACAAACCTCACAATGGCATGTAAGAAATTCAAAGAAGGAAGAAATGTATTCATTCAATCTTTTTCAAGAACTAGATGTTCAAGGGTTGTCAATTGTAGTAAAGCGTTTTGGTTACTGAATGTTTATACCCTCACTCTTTACTTTTATACGTACTTATAAAGCCTCAATATTCAACTCCTTTAGTAGTGCAGCCTAATTTTTTTTTTAAAATACAAAAGAGATCTGAATCTTGATAATACACTCCGTACCAAAAAAAAGCATTATTACTCGAGTAGAGAAAATTATGACTACATGTTAGAGGGCCCAACAACCACTACCCCTTATATCCTGTTTTGGCTAATACGCGAGGAAGGTAATGAAAAAAGAAAGAAAAATGGGTTCTTCTTTCTTTTATCATTTAGGAGTCGTGTGAGATGAAAGTCTTGTGCACGGTATTGAATGAGAGAAAGAAGTGAGGAATCCTCTTTTCCACTCTGACTCTCCCAATACAATGCAAGCAAAAGTTCCTAGATTCATGGAGATATAGAACATCATATAAGTTATAATGCTTGCATATCCATCATTTGAGTCTCCAACAAGTATTCCAATAATTACATATCCGATTTTGCCTATGGACGATTATGCTAGCTTCTAAAATTCACTTATTTTGAAAAGTATTTTTCTCAGAAGTATTTTTCAAAAATTACTTTTGGTGAGAAGTAATTTGTGTTTGGCAAATTAATTTGAAAATTAAGTACTTTTGAGCAGCAATTAGTATTTGACCAATTTTTTAAAAAGTGCTTCTAAATGTATTTTTCTCAAAAATATTTTTAAAAAAGTGCTTCTAGGGATAAATTATTTTTTCTATTTCTCAAAAATTATTTCTGCTTCTATTCAAAAACACTCTTTTCCTTCTAAAAATTTGGGGATAATACATAATTACCCCATTGGAGTTGTAGCTAATTGCCAGTTGCGCCCTTGTACTTTGGGAGGGTCCTATGACCCCCCTATCCTCATCTTGGATGTATCATTTACCTCCTTTCTAGATAAAGAACACTACAATGGCAGTGACTGATAGACACGCGCTTCCACGTATCAGCATGCTAAAAAAAATTAAAAAATAAGATTATTTTCTATATTACACCCCCCACTTCTCCCATGTCTTCTCTTCTTCCCCGAACAAACCAACAGAGACCGATCCACCCACCCCCACTTCACCACACCCCTTCTCCTTCCGCCAACAACCTATGAGGAAAAGAAATTCATCTCAACGACATCACACAAAGTGGAAATGCACGAAATAAAAGCATCTGAAAATGCACGAAATTGATTTTTCTCCGATTGATTGGCTATGGCGTTGCTAAAAAAAAGGACAAAATGAACCTTAAGCGAGCTTTATGGATCTTAAGGAAGAATTTTTAAATTCTAAAAGATCTGGTCACATTTTAAGAAGGATGACAGGGAATGGGGTAACATTTTTCAGTCGCCGGACATTTTTTTCTAGTCGCCGGATCTGTTTATTCTGGCCTTTCTCTCGCCACGTTAGTGTATTGTTTGGGTTTAATATTGGGGAATTGTCTTTGATTTAAAATTGATAGAGTTTCTTTTTATTGTTTAATCTTTTAAAAAATTTAATTTATGATATTGAAGTGAGCTCTATCATATTATTCTCCATTGTTTCAGGTGAAGAGTAAGTGGAGAAAAAGAGAGAAAGAAAAGGAAAACTTGGAAAAAAACTATAATAAAAAAAAATTGGAAATACATTTAAAAATGTGGCAGAATAAAAATTTTAACATGTGTTTTTGTCTCTCACTCTCCTCAAGAGAGTGTATATCACTCTCTATGCCGCATCAGTTTAAAAGGTTGAATTTTTTATACTTTGAATACATTTAAGGGGGTTATAGGACCCCCGTAAAGTACAAGGGTGCAATTGCAATTAGCTACAGCCCCAATGAAGTAATTATGTATTATCTCAAAAATTCGGCCAAACACCTGAACTTTAGAAAAAAAGTATTTTTGGCCAAAAAAAAAAAGAAAAAAGAAAAATACTTGGCCAAAACAGGCTATTAAGTTTGAACTTATCAGGGTTAATTAATGTGAACTTTTTGGATCTATTCTGGTGTATGTAACCTTGTTCCATCAATCTAGTGCAACAATTCTGCGGAGTTAAATACAAAGGCTATGCCCCAGCAAGAATTTCTCCTTCTGTTCGAACCTTTAAAGCTAAATTAAATTGGTTCAATTTAATATTTAAAACTAAAATAAGTTCCCTATAATTTATCTCACGTCAATATAACAAATGCCAAATGCATAAGCAGCCCCCTAAACTTGTCCCAATTTTTCATTTAGACACTTTATCTTTGGGCTTCACCTATTAAACACTTGAACTATACTGAAGTTGTTTCTATTAAACACACATAGATGACATGGCATAAATTTGTATGATACATATTCAAGGGCGTGTGAGAGGATCCTTTTTCTATAATTTTCTCTCTCTCCTTTCTACTTCTCTCTCCCTACTACCACCTCCTCCAGCATCCCTACCCCCACCCACCCACCCTTCCCTTTCCACTTTTCTTTCCATGCGATCCTGCCACCACATTCCAGCATTATTCCATCAGACCATCCCTATTTCCTTTGGACTTGGCCAAGACTATCAAGACACTTGTTTAACCAGAAAATAGGAAATTTGGGTCAAAGTTTAGTTTTTAAAAGAACTCGGGTTACTGATAATCAAATTTGGAACAAATAAGAAGAATTGAAATAAACGATAGCTGAGTAAAAGAAAGCAAAGTAAATCAGTGTATTTCAATAATATTCTGTGTCCTTATAAATATCTATTCCTCTCCTTTCATAGCTATTTCTAAGTAATACGTTTCTTTCCTCAAATAACAGAGTCATTATGAGTAATTAATGTCATTAATGCAACGTTATAATTAGCAATCCTAACTGTTTCGTGAAGATTCTGTAACGTTTTCCATCATTGATGCTCATTAATGACGGATAATACGTATCTGCACTTTTTGTTACTAGGTTCATTCCTCCAATATCTCTTCAAATTACCAAGAGTGAGTAACCGTTCCTTCCTGTTTTCTTGAACCTCTGCCCGTGCCTGTTAAGGCTCGTGTCTCTTCAACTATTCTTTGCCAGCTGTCATTCTTTTATTGATCCAAGTGTATTGACATGTCAGCACGTAATTAATTCCATGTGTTAACTTGATTTTTCCCAATACAGATAGTCCCCCCACTTGCCATTTATTCAACAATTGAATATTTGGGAAGTCGATCTCATTAAAGCGGGAATTTTTGCCGCTATACCTTCTTCAGAACTGACGCTTCGTATGTCACTTCCATTAAATGCTCGTGACACATGGCGTCTTTTGATTGGGTCTGCAACCCTTCAGCTTCTTTTAGGGCTTATTTGCGGCTGCATCAATCACGAAGTGACAGTTTTCATTATGACGTTCCCATCATTACCTTCTTTGTTTGACGGTTGCTTCTGAGTATAAATACAACCTTTGTCTTGTCTTTCTCATGAAAGTTTCCTATCTTTGAATATTCATTCTTGTTTTCTTCCTTGTTCAACCATGTCTTCTTCAAACCCTGATCCTCGTAGAGTTCTTATTGTAGATGAACTTCCTCTTGCTCCAACTAGGAGTAGGAGAGGAGGTAGGTTACGTAGCTTATGATCAACGTCCATTCGAGGTTCCCTTCATCTTTACCTAGTTACACTCCTCCTTCTTCTTCTAGAACCAGGGGTTCTCTTCCACATATAGCTTCTTCTAGAAGTAGAGACTCTAATGAACCAGTTCGTGAACCCTTAGTAGATGAAATTGTCCCCTCTGAACTTTTTTTTTACTCTGATAGGGAATCGATTAGGAATTAGGTTTCCTCTATGTCCTCTCTTGATCGTGCTGACGTTTACCCTTCTCAGATTACCGAAGGTTTAATCTCTGTTGTCCGTAGGGATTGCCATTGGAGATCTGACTTCCCCATCATAATTCCTAATGCAAATCAAAGGATCACATCCTACATGACTGGATTTTCTTTCGTGTATACATATCCTTTTACACTGAATTTTAGACCTCCCATTGATCCTGTTATCATCGAGTTCTGTCATTATTTCAATGTTTGTCTAGGACAAATTGGTCCCATTGTATGGAGGGTTATTGCTTGTCTAAGGTACTTAGCTAACTTGGCTAATTGCCTTTTACTTTTTTTCATCTGATCCACCTCTACTCCCCTAAGTTGTTCCGACATGGGATCTTTACTTTAGTGGCGAGGAGTAAGAGGGTTTTAGTCAGCCCTGAGGACGACAAGGACCGTGGCTGGTATGCCAGATTTGTTGCTGCTCCTACTATAGGGTTAGTAGGTGAAGAAAATATACCATTCCCTGAAAAGTGGAATTTTGCACGTAAGTTTACTTTTACAACTTTCTCTCTTCCTTTTTCCCCCTTTTTCATTTTGAAGGGGTTTGTTTTTCCCGTGTGTGTTTAACTTTCTCTTTTTTTAGCAACCATGGGAACTGTTGAAGAGATTCCCAATTTCTGTGGTTGGGTAGAGAAATAGTTGACTGTTGCTCCGATGGAGGGTAGATCTTGGAAATACCTTTCAAACAGGTTTGGTTGGAAGGTTAAAACTCATGGTAAATACTTTACCTCTTTTTTTCCACTTCCGTTCATTCTTCCCTTTGAACGTATTTGACCCTTCTTTTTATTAGGGTTTCCTATTCGTGGTGTAAGTGCCGATTTGATCACAGCTTCCAGACTTTCTTTGGCAAGAGCTCAGGAGATAATCCTGAGTTCTTCATCCAAAAGGAAAGCTGACAAATCCCAAGATTCTGAAGAGGAAGAGGAACGGGATGAGAGTTCCTTGATTAAAAGGCCGCGAGTTAGAAGGCGCGTTATTTCAGATGATGAAGTTACTCCTCCCCGTTCTGTTCCCGTGACCGAGTCTGTTGAAGCCACCTTAGTGAGTTCTGACGATGATACTCCTATGGCAGCTCGTGACTCTGATGAACAACTTTTTTCTCGTGGGTTTGATAGTGAAAGTTTCGATTTGGTGTCTGATGAAGTACCTCTTGCCTCCTTTC